TGGCTGGACTCATTTGGTCCCCTCGGGGACTCCCGAGCTGCTGGAAGGGCTTGGGGGTCCGAGGCCGTGTGGGTTGCTGCAGAGCCCCTCCGCCTCCTTAGAGAGGGCCAGGCTGGGGGGAAGGACCCTCTCCCCGGGCACCACCACCCTCAGCATCCTGTAAGCCTGCCCCTGCCCAGGGCTGGGGGGGGCGGTAACTGGACACGACTGAGCCACCAGCACCGTGGAGGACAACAGGGACAGCCCCCCGTGACTCCTGCCGTGCTCAGGAAGCCACCCCGGGACCCCCTTCCTCCTCCTTCTCTCCTGCAGGCAGCGTCTGGCCCACAAAGGGTTACGCAAGGCACCCTGGAGTGACACCACTGCCACCAGCCCGGGAGCTCGGCTCCTTCCTGGTCGGATCCCAGGCTCGGTGAGTGCCAGACCCTGTCCCCCGCGATTTGCTGGCCCCTGCTGTGCTTTTCACCTGGGGAACCGGCCGTGCTTTGTCCCTCTCCGAGTGGCTCCAGGACCTGGTGACCCTCCTGGAGTCCTGCCCCGATTACAGGGAGCTACCCCGGGGGGGATCCTGGGACCCCACTGTCACTCCTGCGCCCTGAGGGCTGGAGGATGTGTCTCTGTCCTGCTGATTTGCACCCCAGCTGGGTCAGATCTCCCTGAGACCCTTTTCCCAGAGTGAGGGCTCAGGATCAGCCCCACGGCGATGAGGGAGGGGTTGGGTTAGAGGAGCTTCTGGAGGGGTCTGGGACCCTGGTCCTGCATGGCTAGGACCAGACAAGAGACAAGCAGCTTTGTAGCATTGACTGAGACCAGGGGCCCCACTGGTCCCAGGAAGGCTTTGGAGTCCCATGCTGGGGACCCCCATTGGCAGGAGGGTTTGGGGAGCAGGTTATGGGTGGTCAGGATGGCTGTGGGGCAAGGCCGGGGTGGCCAGGGTGCGTCACTTTCTGATAAATAATCTCCCCAGCCGTTGCTGTCCCCATGGTGGGCATCGCTGGCAGTGTCACCCACAGCCAAGCACAGCCCCGAATTGGGGACCTTGCGGTGGGACGAGCTGCCCCAGCACAGCCCAGGCTTGGTTTGGCATTAAAAACCCTGCGAGATGCTGGCCACGGTGTGTGTGTGTGGGTCAGAGTGGGGTATGTGGGGGTCCCTGTGCTGCTGGTGCCCAGTGTCGAGTGTGTTGGGTTGGGCCGCGGTCAGCTCTGCCCAGATACTGCCTCTCCCGGCGGGGCCATTTCGGGTGCGGGCTGGTTTCTGTCGGAAACCGGCTGAGCCGGCTCCTCCAGCTGCCAGCCTCGGCCTTTGGCTTGGGGCAGGGCCTGCTCCAGGACCCCACGGGGAGACTGGGGACAGGACTGGGGCTTGGTGGCACTGTGGGTGCTGCCTGTGCCAGCTGGTGAGACGGGAGCTGCTGCCATCCCCATGGTCTCCCCCTGCCCTAGATTGCGCTGCCCACGGAGAGCCCTGGGTGGCAGTGGGACGCAGGTGTGTGGCTGATTTTTGGTGCTCCAGTGATGGGACAGCAGTGGGAGCCAGCTGGGGACAGTGAGAGGCTGTGTTGGCTGGCAGTGGGGTTGGCTCTGGCGCAGCAGATCAGCCATTGCCCTGGGGAGGGGGATGCTCTGGCTGCCCCACAATTGGGGTCCCTTGGACCTGTGGCTCATGCCATGTCACCCGCGGGTGTCCAGGAAGCCTGTAAGCACCAACTGGCTGACATTTGTGACACAGATGAGACAGGACCCACCACTTCAGCTCACTGATCCAGCAGCAAACCACCTCAGTGCCATGCTGGGATCTCCTGTGTATTTGCAGTCTTACAAACACCAGGACAGGACCACAGGTGCCACCACACCAGTGTGCCACCAGGTGCCACCACCCCAATGTGTTCAGCACCAGTGGGTGGGTGCTCAGGCTGGTTTTGATGGCTCATGACACGGAGTAGAAACCTGGACTCTGCCCTCTGTGCTCACCGGCTCACAGCCCGGCCAGCCAGGGCTATTTCTGAGGCCTGGGTGAATGATTACACCATCTCTCCTGGGGCTGCCGCGAGCTGGGTCTCATTTTGGGGGTCATCCAGCTGCTTCGGTATGGCCCTGGCTGGGGGCTAGCCATGGAAAGCCCCAGTGGTGGGGCTGCGCTTGCCCCAGGGGTGGCTGCCCACCACTCACCCCAGCTTTCCCATGAGATCCCTGCCTGACATCGCCCATGGCATTGCCCAGGGACGTCAGTGCTCGTCTCTGATGCCCCTCAGTTCCACTGAAGCTGCCCCGCAGCTGATTCTCAAAAAGGCTATGGAGGTTTCCAGCTTCCTGCGGCACTGATGGGGGGAGGTTCCGGCAGGGTTCAAGGGTGGCTGAGCTGCACTGGGGAGCCAGCACGGCCACTGGCACGGCCGTCTCAGAGCCCTTGGGCACCACGAGACCATGCAGGTGCCATAGGATAGGGTGCTCAGGCAGCAGGGCCAGCGTGGCCAGAACTGGGGGCTGCTGCCACGGCAGAGCCATTGGCCAATCAGAGACCCTGGAGATCTGCTGCAGCAGAGTCACTGGCCAATCAGAGACTTCAGAGATCTGCCACAGCGGAGCTATTGGCCAATCAGAGACCTCAGAGATCTGCCACAGCGGAGCTATTGGCCAATCAGAGACCTCAGAGATCTGCCACAGCAGAGCCATTGGCCAATCAGAGACCCTGGAGATCTGCTGTGGCAGAGCCACTGGCCACTTGGACACCTCAGAGATCTGCCATGGCAGAACTACTGGCCAATCGGAGAACTCAGAGATCTGCTGTAGCAGAGCTGTTGGCCAATCAGAGATCCTGGAGATCTGCTGCAGCAGAGCCTTCAGCCAATCAGATCCAAAGATGTGCCGTGGTAGAGCTGATGGCCAATCGGAGATCAGAGCAGTCCACTGTGGCAGAGCAGCTGAGCAATCAGTGCCCAGAGAGACCCATGGTGGCAGAGCCATCGGCCAACTGGATCTGGGGGTGCTGCCATGGCAGAGCTGCCGGCCAATCAGTGCTGGGGATAGTGCCCATGTGTCAGCTGTTGGCCAATCAGCACTGGGGAGATCTCCCCCAGCTTAGCTGCTGGTCGATCCTTGATGGCAGCACAAGGGTGCCCCATGCCAGACCTGGCAGTGCTGGTGGCCATGGCCGCTGTGCTGTGATGGGCCCTGGCCACGCCTGTGCCATGGCCATGCCGTGCCTGTGGCCATCCTGTGCCATGGCTGTGGCTCTGCTGTGGATGGGACCAGGCCGGGCACTGGCAGCCCCAGTGCCCAGGGCAGGGGCAGGAGCAGGATGCATGGGCAGTCCAGGGGCAGCCCAGCTACGGGCTTGGGGCTGGAGTGGGCAGGCAATGGGTGCAGGTGTGAGTCTGTCCTCCCTGGTCCCTGCACTGGTCACAGGGGTGAGGGTCCCCTGGCGTGTGCCAGCTCCCGGGAGGAGGGAGAAGAGCGGGGCCACAGAACAGCGTGGGCAGGTGGTCCCAGCCATGACGGTGTGTCCTGAGCTGCTTACCTTGCATAAAACCTCCCCTTCCGTGGACATGAGTCTGAGGAGATGGACCTCCCAGGGGGATGTTTCATGCTGCATAGAGACAGCTCTGGGCTTTGGAGCCAGCTCCCACACGGAGTTGGCTGGGGTGTGACACAGCCATGAGTCCCAGTGCCCTGGGTGGGTACCTGGGCACTGCAGGGGGCTCTATCCCCTGCACCCTCATGGTCCCCAGTGCCTCAGCTTTGCTTCTGCTCTTCTCTACAGTCTGAAGCAGGATTGAGGAAGGGGCCAGCGGCTGTGAAGAGGAGCCGGAGCCGGTCCGCGCCCCCGGCTGCCGGGCAGGAGCTGCCGCACTGGCCAGCTGCCAACATCCCTCGCTTGCGTTGGCACGTGGCCACCATGGAGGAGATGCTGATCTGGGAGCAGCACACGGTGACGCTGAGCAAGGTGAGCACAGCTTGGGGTGGCTGTGGGAGGGGATGGGGTCTGTGGGGCCAGCTCTGCTTGATCCCTCTCTACCCGTCTCTGCTAGGACCCTCAACGGGGCT